CTCATTGAGTACTCGTGCATAGTTTCTGAACCACGAAAAGACCTGTTCACAGGCGGCAGTGTTGGCAGCTCCCTTGGAAGATAGCTTGGAAGATAGCTCCTTTGGTTTTTTTTGTTTTTTTTGTTTTTTTTGGTCTTGACGCAGCCAGAGTAAGTAGAAAGCAGACGTTTGTACCAGACAGAGCAGAGAAGTAGACAGAGCAGAAGTGTAGTTTCCTTCTGTTATTTGGAGCAGAGTTTCCTTCAAACTTCTAAAAATTCCTAAAAGCAAAAACCCAAAAACCACCCCCCATGACCCGCCCTTCTGAACAAAAAAGAAACCCCTTTGCGGTCACTGTGCCGGCAAAGGCCACTACACCTCGACTTGTCCTATACTCGCAGCTTCTGCCCTGAAAGCTTTGTCCAAGACTACTGACTTGAAAAAGTTAGAAAGTCAGCTCAACAAAGGTGAGCCTCTGCGCCTGCAGAACCTTGGAAAGAAACGGAGGACTCTGAAGAAAGCTTCCGGCAAGAGAGGCTTTTCCGAAGCCTTTAAAGCCGCCTCTGGAAAAAGCAAGAAGAGCAAGAAAACTGCCAGCCGCAACAATAGCAAAGACAAAGAGAGAAAGCCTAGAGCGAAAAAACAAAGTACCAGCGACGATGTCGTGACGGCCATGCCTTCGCGCAAAGCCTACAAAGAACTGTTGGCTTCCAAGTGGGTGTGGAAGCCTGGAAAGTGTCAATGTGGAGGATCCTTCGCTGCTGTTTCATGGAAGACTTGCAACTCTCGTGGCTTCGGCCGCCTGTTCTATCGATGCGAAGACTGTGAAAGTGTCTTGGTCGGTCAGTTCGTTTTCACTCTTGTTGCTAGATAAGGTCGACCGCCTGTTTACAATCTTACTCCTTCTTTTTTCATGTTCTGTGTCAGGTTTCAAAGATGTCATGAACTTCAGCGCCCTGCCCACACTTCGTTGGCCCATCGTTCACTACTGGTTCTTTTTGCAACAATGGTTCGCCAACAGCAAAAGACCTTCGAGCGAAGAGATCGCCAGGATGATGGGTGTTTCTGGTCAAGCCTGCAGTGCTGCCCGCCGCCTCGGTGAAGTTCTTCTGCGCGCAGAAGCTTTGTGTGCCCAGAAGACGCAAGATTCACGGAAGCTCTCAGGACTGTTGGAAGTCGATGGCACAAGCATTCGCAAGTTTGTGCTTCCAGGCTCCACGACTCTGAGGTACATGCAGTACTTCGGCGCACTGAAGCGTGGAACTCGCTGCATTCATCTGTACCGTCTTCCAGATGCTGACAGCAAGTCCTTTGGCAAGCCACCTCCTGAGAGTTTTGCTAGAATCCAGAAGACAGACTTCATGCGTCAGGTCCTTCCCATGACCCCGGGCCTGGGAAAAACCTGTCTGATTTCTGATGGTGCTCCTGCGTACTTGAAACTGTGCCCCGAGCTGAAAGTTCTGCACAGAGCCTGCTGTCACAGCAAAGGTCAGTTCGTCGAGCACTCTCGAATTCATGGACTCAGGACTGAGGTGCACACTGGAGGAATAGACAGTTGTTGGAAGCTGTGCAAAGCAGCGATTCCACCGAGCGTGCTGACAAAGTCAGATGGATCCTTCAATCCGAAGATTGATGTGTACATTCGCTCATGGCAGTGGCGTTGGGAAAACACCACGTGTACCAACTTGTGCAAAAAAATTGCGCAAGTCTACTTGAGACAGGACGCGTGAAAGTTGAAAACAGTCCGGCACAAAACCGGCGACGGATTTTTCGCTGGCGCTTGGGTTTCGGCAGATTCGGCTTTAAAAATGAAAGGATCCGGGACCCCCAAAAAACATCATCGAACAAGCAAAAGTACTGAGAGGGTTAGCACTTTTGAATCAAAGTTTGCACGACTACACGTTCTATTCCACACCCGGCGGGATGTTTATGCTGCCACGACTGAACAAGGAGTTGAAGGTCATGGTTCATCTCGAATCTTTGGATGGCACGAAGAACTAAGTTTCTGTCGATTGCGTCAAATGCCTTTTCAAGATCGATTGAGACCTGGAGGCCGCCCCACAATCCAGACTTGAGAGGATCACTCTTGTGGTGTTGGCATAAGGCCTTGACCTGTCTGCAGTGTTCAGAAGTCAGCAGGAGACAATCCTGTGTGCCGCGGCGCGGCAGGTAGGCAAACAGTGGAACCGTGCAAAGGGATGAAAGAGCATGGTCTAACACTTGTGCACAATGGAGTCCAGTGAGTACCTTATTGATTGGGTGCTGAAGGCAGATTGGTCGGAGCGCAGCTGGATGATTGGGAGGTTTATTGGGCTTACTAAGGAGGTGCAGCCACTCTGTGGCCCAACGTGTGGGAGGAATACCCGTCTGGGTCCAAGCACATTGAATGGCGGGATAAACCACTGCTGCAATGTCATGTGCAAAGAACCTCCAAACCATACCTGGCATCCCATCCGGAGCCAGTGCCTTCGTGACCGGAAGTTTGGAGAGTCCCAACGCAACCTGATCCTGAGTGAAAGGGATGGTGTTCAACGGAGCAGGTGCTAACTCAAAATTTGCGTCATTAAATATGGTACCAAAGTGATCAACAAGGGCATCAAGTTCTTGGTGCGGTAGAAGAGGGGCTCCAAACTTATCATGCAACTGTATCTTACGAAAAGGTTGCTTTGGACAGAGTTTACGGATGTTGCGATACCAATCGTGCATACGATTTGACAAAACATGGGGAACATTGTCTTTCAAGAATTGCTCAAGCTTGAGGCATTTATTGATCTTACCAAATTTACGAATCTGGGCATGCAGATGTGCAAAGATGGTGAGGTTTTTCCAACTGTGAAAGAGTGTGCGAACATGGACGTACAGCACCTGTCTAGCCTGTCGACGTTCATGCCACATTCGAGCAGTGAGGGATATCACAGTCTTGTCAGAAGTATATTGTTTTTTCTGACGAGGAAAATGTACAAGACACAATTCTCTAAGTTCATGTTTCATGGAGTAGTAGTTGTCAAACGGATGGGTCTGGCAGGGATATTGATGTTTGAGGATACAACTCTGGGCTTCCATTACGAACTTTCTCCATGATGTGGTGTCTGCGATCATCTCCTGTCGTAGGCGAAAACGATCGATGGATGGAAGTTTCGAAGGAGCGGGTCTCACCGGATGCCAACGTGGAATACCAAGCAGCAACGGTCTATGTTGTGGTCCCTGATGCAAACCAATGCGCTCAAAGCGGCAGTCTATTGAAGCAGTTAAGTGTTTCCACCTAATCTGATTGGATTTCATGAAAGCGAAGTCTATTCGGGTCTGATGGCTACCATGCAGGAAGGTGGAAACATATTTCTGCTTGCAATGAACGGCAACCAAAGACAATTCATGGATCATAAGTTGAAAATCCTGTTTATCTGATTGGAGTGCCTGATCAAAGCGCGGATCATGACTGCCTACGTATTGTGAGTCTTGTTGCAACGGGCAATTAAAATCTCCAATGATAACCATCATGTGGCTTTGTGGAGTATGTTGGATACACTGACGGAGTTTCCCCCACAGGTCCTGCCTATCTTGCAAAAGGGCTCGTATTGGCTTGGTCGTATTCCAGGCCGTCTGATATATCGTGTATATATCATGGACTCGATCTAGCATCAGGCGAAGATGTAGCAATCTTCCTGGAATCAACACTGCATACGCCAATATGGAAGCACGGATCAAGGTTTTGCGGACCATGATGAGTTAGCTCCCAGCAACCTCTTGAGAATGGATCCAATATCAATGTTTAATTTCCCATTGACCTTCCAGTTGGATTCTTGAATCAAAAGTACATCTTCAGGTCGGCCCGTAGCCCAGACTAACCATTCATGGTAACTCAAGCTTCGAGTGGCCTTCCAGGAGAGGATCTTTAAAATAACGCCAGATTATTGTGCCGGTCGAGACGGAGGTTGCAATGTTGACCCCCTGCATTTCAGCCTTCAATAAACCTCGCAATCGAAAAGGCACATCGGACTCCATGAAACATTTGCCATGGTAACTAATGTGTCCAATTATCAACGCACGTTTGCAAGCCCGGCGGAATGATCGTTTTATACGCCGAATTCGAGACTAGTGCACCAACTAGCCGTAGCCAATCATCGCCCAAACTTCATTAGGCTTTCGTACATGTCGTAATAGGGCATAGGAATGCAATGCACTTACACCAATCCGTAAAGAAAGATTAATAATCCTTACGCCAAGCTCGATATAAAAGATAGTGTATTGGGATTCAAGCCTCCCGGACTTAAGACCGGGAAATCCAATTCTCCAATTCTAAAAATATTTATTATATCAATACAACAAGGTTAAAAATATTCTAGAACCACATACCAATCATAGAAAGAAAACCACAAAAACCATAACAAATATCCCTGGGTGCGACCACAATTATTTAAATTAGAAATTATGCTTATCAATATATAAATAAAATACCATACATAAATAAAAAACATCTCCAATTATATTAATAATACTAAAATCCAAGAAGCAACAACATTTATTCTAAGAATTAATATTTACATTCAAAAATACATAATTACGTAATACAATAATTTCAAATAAACTTAATAACGAAATATATACGCTATTTATTCAAATTAAATCTAATATGCATCCACGCCGGTTAAAAATAACTACATATATTTACAATAATATATTCTAATACTTCTCTCAACGACAAACACCACTAAAAACAACATATCATATTTCTTCATAAATTCAAACACTACCCCAAACTAAGAATGCTCAAGACCAAATACTAATCGAGGTGATCCTTTTCGGGATAAAGCGGTCGGGATTATATTAAAAAAAGACATCCGAAGGGGGGGAGGGTCTGTATAAAAAAACAATAAATAACTTATTAAATCCGGAGGAACCCACACTTGCTTCGCAAGACAAACTCAAAGTATCCCCTAAAAGGCTACCATTCGTGATATACAAAATAAAAAAGATAGATATAATAAGCAAATTCAATTGTACCACATATATTTACCTGTATTTACAATATCCATGGGATTATTGAATAGCAATCATTTTTCCGGCGTAATTCCTGTACAAAAACGCCGTCAGCCGTGGCACGTGGTCAATGTAGTCAACCACTGCACGAAGCAAACACAAGCAACATCAGCAGCAACCGAGCGAGCAACGAATTGATCAGATATTATCCAAAAAAACACATTGCATTCGAGCCCCATCACTCTTGCACCTGAAAGTATCTTTATCTCCCAGCCCCAAACAACTGTCACAGTGCCCATAATGCTGAAAGATTGGTGCGCTATGAAGTGAATGCTGTGATGACTACATTGGCTTTCCTTGGCTTTCATGCTACAGAGATGCTACAGAGATTCTACACACCCCTCTATCATATGCATCCCGCGAACACTTTGGTGAAGGACTCTGCTCTGGTAAAAAAGTCTTCCTTGTCGCAAGTCTTTTCTGTTTGCCACACCAGGCCTCTAGTGTTCTTGGGATGCCTAGTCAATCCAAAGTTGTCTTCGTCAAATGCAAAAGCCTCGCACATGATATCGCAAAAGCCAGCTTTGTAGGACATGAATTTGCTCTCAAAATGTCTCAAGCCCTTCGCATTTTGCAAACCATGCAAATTTGGCCATACTGGACCCACCCAGTCAGAAACTTACATCCTTTTCACATATGTCACAAGAACCATGGCCCACCCCCGCCACTCATCGCGACTCGTCGCTTGTTCGGACCCACCGCTACATGCATATCGATGCGAAGATCGTGAGCTGGAATCATTCGCTTTACGGTGAACGAGTTGCAAACTCGTTTGGCCAGACACATCGCCCGAGACCCGTCAGGGCAGTCCAAATTCGGCAAAGAAACACACCACAGTTGGGAGAAGAACAGGACTATGTTGAAGAACAGCATCTTCCATGTTGTTAAGGTAAGAGTTTAAAGGACTATCCCTATGCACCTGCTCACTGCGCATGCTTTTGTTCTGCACCAATCACCACCTGCTGGTTAGCTTCCAGACCTGATGCTGACCTGAAGGAAGACAAGAAAAACCTCTTGAAAGAATTGGAGCCCTTCTGGAAAACCTGGGCAATTGAACGGCAGCCTGCTCAAAAAATGTTCCATGGATTCGATATAGAAGTGCTTTCCTTCACAATGACCATAGCACACGGCCAACAAGCGCCCTGCACCTTTTGGTTCAACAATTTGGGCACCTTCCAAGACATAAATCTCCAAAATCAGTGAATTCTGTTGATCTGGACTCCATATGATAGGGCGAATGGTCTTATCCGAACACAAGGAACCGCACCCTAAACGAACCTGCCGTTTGAAGTCGACCTCACAAGGCTTTTCTCCCAAAGTTCTGGATTGCGTACCCGCTGGCTGAGCTTCTGAGAAAGGAAGATGATCTCTGCAGGCTACAATCCCGACAAACCAAACCTGAATACATCTAAACACTGCATCTAAAACCATCTAAACATATTCATATCTTAGATCTATTTTAGATGTCTTGGCACACTGGTGATACTGGTTTGAACCTTGGAATCTTCCAGCCCACCCTCTTCTGCCAAAAGAGGCCAAAAAGGTCTCATGGCGCTACCCTGCACCGGCAGCGACCACGAGAAGCGTTCAGCGTGCAAGGCTGTGAGCCAAGGCCGGCGGCACAGTCGCGTGGAGCCTTGGTCGGCGGAGCCTGTATGCATGTGGGTCTGGGTCAAGGAGGGTGTGTTGAGGGTTTTTTGGATTCCAAACACCATGTTGAAACGGACCACATACCAAAGGAAAAGACCATGCACTGTGCATGGTTTGAGCGTACAGCACAAATGCGGGTGCTGTTTCGAGGGGTATTAAATGGTCTTGTTGACCCACGCGTTGTACTGTAATGATTAATCACGGAAGTGGACGGCATGGCCCCACTCATGGCCCCTTATGATGACCATCTTCCCGAATACCAAAAAGGTGGTGTTCCACGTCCATGATGATCAAACAAGAAGTGTATCTCCACTCACCGACTTCCTCACGCCGTCTGCCTCACGTCTCGGCGCGAGACCGGACTCGTCTACCGGTCTCGGAGGGACGACGTCTCCGAGAGGCCATTCCTGTCGCCAGTATTGGTCACCCTTGGAGTTGCTCAAGTCCTCCAAATCGGGCGGCTCCAAGGACTTCGCCTCCGGTGAGAGATCGCTTGCGCAAAGAGCGCGCCCGCCCGGCCGGCCGGCACAAAGACTTTGCTTTAGCCGTAAAAGAACAGCGATTGCAATGCAGCAGAATAGGCAGTTATTTTTGTATCTTGAGTTTGATTCCTTACTATCAGGTCTTGCGCAAACCTAAAGAATCTATGCTTCCAAGAGCTTTGACTGGAGCTGGTTTTGTCAAAACAACTGTACCAGCCACGAAGTGAGCACGTGACACCCGGCATGTGAGACACCATGCCTGGGGCGCAATAGTAGGCACCCAATAGCCGGGAAGAATGCAAGGAAAGCAATAGAGCCATGCGAGTTGATCCTGATGACCCGCGCGGACGTTCACTTGCAAATTCACTTGTCCGCCATGGGAAAAACAAGGTGACTGAGAATGGGGACTTCATAGCATGCTCGAAGAATTCACAGGATGTTACAACTTCGGCCGCCCCAAACAACGCCCAATCAAACGGCGATTCGCCGAAAAGCCCCACGAATTCGCCCCGGCAGTTGCGGTCCAGGAGAGATCGAAGGAGATCATAGACCAGTAGGATGGCGAGACCTGAAGGAGAAAAAAAGAGCAGGGCGGGCGAGAGGCCTCGAGAAGGCCTGGTTGGGTCCATGTCTGAAGATCTGACATGTCTGGCCTTGGCCCACACCTGGATGAAAAAATATGACAAGGAGTTGCTGAAGGACATGAAGATGGAGTTGTTGACATGATCAACCTTGCTGCAGTTTTTGTACAGATCCAACATGATCCAGTCAACCAAATTTGCACTCGATGTGATGTGGAGTGTGCATGGGTGCTTTTGACCGTCACAAGGACCTCTTTCTTGTGTCGCACGGAGGTATCTCAGCTTCAACAACCAATATGACCAATATGTTGGGGTATGTTACGGGCAACTGTTGGGGTATTCTTTCAAGTTCCCACACACGAATCTTGCAGTCCATCTGCGCCATCCACGACACCGGGCACAAGCGGGGTGGTGAGATGGTGAGAGGTGAAAAATGCCAACGTCTTGGAGTGAAGAAGGAACACATTCGTGAAACACAGGTCACACATGTCCAAAAGTATGTTAACTATGAACAACACAAGCAATGGCGAAAACTACATGGAAGAAAGGGGAAGTCTGGAAGAGGTAGCTCTAATTAGTTGCACCTTGCTACTAGTAGCTTCTTGCTACTAGTAGCAAGTGCATCCCTACTAGTAACAAGTGCATTACTACTGGTAGCTACTAGTAAGTAGCTTCTGGCAAAGTTCCTGTCGGACTTGGGCGGCTTTGCATCAATGAGGATGCAACAGAATTAGTAAAGCACAATAAAGTTGGACAACTCCCCGCTCTGACTAGTAAACCCCCTAAACAACAAAGTCTTAACAAAAAACATTACAGCACAAACAAATCAAACATTACATAATAAAAAACAACGTTAAAAATAACTCTAAACCATAATAACGAACAATACAACTAGAGAAAAAAAAAACAATAGAATAACATATGTTTATATTTATATGATATTATATTGATATTTTGAGGGGACTGAACTCCTCTTCAAGACCCCTGAAAACCGGATGACCTCCGCAGTTCTCGGTCCCATGACGACAAGTCTCCTCGCTTCGGCCAGGTCCGGACCACCTTAATCTGGGCCACCTTGGCCACGCAGGCCTGGTGCGGCGCGGTTTCCAGCCGTGGGATGCACCAGACAGGATTCTAGTCCATCAGACTCCCCTCTGCCATGAAATGCACAATGAAACCCATTTTGGTTTCTATCAAAGTCAGCCAACGCATGAGCTTCCAACGGAGCTTCTGAACTGGAGGTGTCTATCCTGAAAACCCCCCAGCATGCCGCATGCCACTGCAGCCAGTCCGTCCGCTCCACACAGTCCATCGGCCTCCTCAAGTCCAGAGGCTACCATGCCACAGCGGTAGGGCACGTAGGCCATATCTGCTTCATCGCTCCAGGTATTCCTTCATTCGGCGATCGAAGGGTCTCATGGAGATCGAAGGGTCTCATGGAGGGTTGGGTGTGTTTGCTTGGGGGTGGTATCTGGCATCCAAATCAGAGGCCTCACCATGGGTGAATGTCGGGTTCTGTCGTGTTCGGTGTCTTTGTTGAAGCAGACAGACTTGGTGTGTGCCGTAGTTGTCTTCTGCGACTTTCACCAAGTTGAGAGGCTGTGAAGTCAGTCTGAAATATAGAAAATGGCAGGGAGTCATGGCGAATACCAGTAGCCCAAAGCGACTTGCTTGGACCCTACATGGTCTTGCCTATTCTGAATTTCTGCAAAGGTTCTACTATAAAGTAATGCTTGACGGTTCATTTCTGTTGGTGCTTTACCAAAAGCAGGGCTTGGTCAGGCAGGCATTTGACCCTTCCAAGAATGGCGCAAGACATACATGCATCAAAGAGCTGAACTTGCACGAATTGGTTAGCTTAACACAACCATTGTTTCTAAAATGGGATATCACTTGACATGTCTTTCTGTGATTGATTGCCTTAGATTAAATCAATGGTTTAAGTTCCCTGCTCGTTCTGTTGTGCTTCCACTCTTTGCCAGTTGTCTAGTCTCACACTTTGTCTTTGTCTCAAAACCTCGCCCCCTGATGGGCTCGGGATCTTTTTCCAAGGAGGGCGCTCCCCCGACACCAAGACTCTGCTTCGGATGTAGTTGCCGATCGATGGTGCAAATCTTGCCCACCCGAACCTCGCGTCGGTCGTCGCGTCGCCGACGCGTCGCTTCGGACGAAACCCAACGGCCGTCGGTGCTCCTGGAACGAGCAAACAGGCCATGCGGTCGCACATCGGCGAGGACTCAACGATACGTTGGTCGGTTCGACCAGACAGGCCATTAGCCCCCCAAGCCGTTGGCTCAAGCGGGAGCAAATCCTCATAAATCTGGGCGGAAATGGGAAAGATTGGGAAACAAATCACTGGATACCCCATGTTCCATGATGTTCCATGTTCCACATGGTTCCACCCTGGTTCCACCCCATCGCAGCCGTGACGCTCGAAGCTCAAAGATCACCCCATTCTGCCCACCGTAGCCCCAGACTTTGTTCCTGACCAAGGCTGTGAGCGTCCAGGGCCCGGGACCCCGTTTCGAAGCACCGTTTCGAAGCGACGGAGGACAACGACTTGGAGTCGTCGCGGAGGTCGGACGACGTGTGCGGACTGAAAGCAGGGTGCCAGGAGCACCAACGTCTGGGAATTGGCCATTCATACGGACAGCATCACTGGTAGGAACCCTCTGTAAGAATCCAAGAATCACACTCTCTGGAACAGAAGTGGACAATGGTTCCTTGGAAGACCATGAAATCCTCTACAAACAGCGGGTTTTCCGCTTCCATGTTCGTTTCAGGGAGAGTATTTCTCCCAAAAACACGTGCATCGGTGCATCGGACCAACCCCGACAGAACGCACATCCAGTGAAAAACGCCAACCGCGTCAGGTGGAAATCCAGCGGTGAACACCCACCGGTCAACTCAAATTACACGCGCATGCCAACAACATCAGGGTTCAACAACATGAAAGCATACACATCTACAAGCCAATCATGCCTCTATAAATTGCATTTCCAACTAAACATCAAAGTCTATAACATGAACACATGGACATCCAAACCATGTTCACTATAGACTATATATACTATAAATCAAAAGACTATAACATGCAAAACCTGCATTTGCCGCATTAAACACATGACCACAAAAAGCCTCTATAAAATGTAAACCCCGGCCATGCCTATTTTCAGAAGTGAAACACAACACTCATACTTGCGTGCATGTTTTACATTCTATAGCAAAACGTGACCACTTGGTCCCCTTTTGAATGACCCTGTTTTTGGACCTCGAGGTCCACATTCTATAGTGTTTATTCAATTCCCTGGAGGGAAACAGCCCTTCAGCCATTTTTAGCATCAATTGAATTCAGCTGGTTCAGTCCCAAGCGCAAAGATCTCTAGAAATTCCTTGCAAGCCTCCCTGGCCACCGGTTTGGTGCGTCTCGTTCAGGTCCAGGTCCAGTTCTGGAGCCCAGCGTCAAATCACGTGAGATGTAAACGCCACGACCCAGCATTCCTGGCTCTTCGGCCCCCCGACGTCATGCAAAATGGTTGCTTGTTTTATTTTTCACTGTCAAACTGGCTCAGTTGGGTTTGAAAAGACCTCCTTTTAAGAGGCGAAGGCAATTCTTCCTCACGAGGGCCTGGGCCGAAAGACAACGTGCTTTGGTACAAAAGAACGCATACCACCATGTACCACCGAAAACCATCCTCCGTGTTTGATCGCTTCTGCGCTACACTCTACAAAAAGTACGTGTACAACTAGGATTTCTCCGCCCCTGCTGCTTCTGTGCGCCCGCCTTGCGTTGAAACGCGGAAACCGTTGTGGCGGATGCCTTGTGGGGCACAGAGCCATAGGCCGATCGACGGGAGTGCAAGCGAGGGGTCTTCTCAGAAATCTTGCAGCACTAGAAGACGATAATTATCAGTCTTGTCCAACATATAGTTATATATCTTCCTGGAAGATCCTGGAAGGGCACTCCGTACAAAGCTCGTAGGACCTCTGATGCATTCTGCGTGAACAAAGCGGACAGTGCACTTCGAGCTTTCGCAACATTGGCATGTGTTGGTCTCCGATGCAGCAACCCCCACAGTACAGACTTGTTGCAAGTCCTCCTTTAGTGCACAAAAACAAGTATAGAGTCTGCCCTTTCTCTCCCACCCGCAAGCTAATAGAAGTGGATCTCAACTTCAATCCTTACAAAGGAAGCTCAACCAAGCAGCTCTCTTCATTCTCTGCTGCAGTCGCATGATACGCCCGAATTTCACCTGAGCGAATCATTTTCTGAACACCCCATAAAGTCATTAAGCCTCAATCAACAACATGACATGCTATTTCTTGCAAGAAGAGGGGTCGGAGGCAGGTTGCCAGTGGGTCGGGTTGGAGAAGTGTTGGTGGCCGCGCTTGAAGCAGCCATTTCCAGCCGAGCAGCTCATCTCCATAGGGGCCCTCACGGGGATGCGGTGTCGTGCGGCCCAATCATGCAGAAACCACCAGAAATGAATTGTGCCATGACATGCATCTGGGAGTGCCAAAATCCGCCGACCCCACACCGTGGGGTGAGGCGTGACTGTCGATGTTAGCCTTAGCCTTAAGACTTAGCCTTATCCTTAGCCTTAGACCTAGTCCTTAGCCATCCTTAGCCTTATCCTTAGCCTTAGACCTAGACCTTACTGACTAACTTCCCCTACCCCTCCGGACCCTTGCTGCAGTGATGAAATCTCGCCCTGAGCAACCCGGGAATTGGGGCACCCTCTCGACCCGCGCGGGAAAATAAGCACGGTCCAAAATGGTCCTGGGCTCGAATCCCGGGCTGGTCGCGGCATGGTCCCGGCCAATGCCCTTGCTTTTTCGTAGATTTTGTCACGTTTTCTGTTGGTTTATGAGATTTTCAAAGGCTTTTCTTGCATTTTCCTAGGAATGCTCTAGGCTTTGTCTTTTTGGGTACCTGCTTTGGTGGTGCTGGGTTGGGTCTAAATTGGTAAACCTGGGAGGTACCCAAAAAGTCGACTTTTTGGGTACCTGCTTTGGTGGTGCTGGGTTGGGTCTGCACTCTTAAGGCTAAGGCTAAGGCTTAAGGCTAAGGCTAACATAGAGCAAGGCTAGCGCTAAGGTTCTATCCCTTGGGGGTCGGCGGCTGCAGGCGGTAGCCTGGTAAATATATGGACCAAGAAAAGAATTCAGGGCATCTAAAAAGTGGATAAACATAGATCAACGGTCCTCAAAAACCATCTCTCAAATGAACGGGTCTTGTTTGTCCGGCCCCCGCCTGGTGCAAAAGCTCTTCGCCTTGGAAATCAGCTTCATGGCCACGACCGGCATCGGCAAGGTGTAGAGTGCAAAGAGCCCCACACACACGAGCCTCAGTGGAAGTGGTGCAAAAACCTCATCTGGATGTGGTGAAAGGTGAAGAAGTTTGGCCAAGAGGTAAATAGTTACAACACTATGAGACAGCCCCTTCTCAAAATCAGATTGCTCTCGGGAAAGCCCAAACACGCAACTTAACGGCAATCTTGCACGCTTGCAATGTTTTGGAATGCTTGAACAGCAACAGGCCGAGAATCCTGAGCTTGGGTCAAAGGTGAACACAAAAAACATTGTGCAAAGTTTTTCCGTTTTGCCTCTACGCTAGAAGTTCCAAGTTTGTTTACATACTTCAATTCATTGTACTTGACACAAACATCATCAACATCATGGCACCCCGATACCCAAAGGCTCTAAAAACTGGAGATGAGCTGGGTACGGGACCAGTGATACCTCATAATAGTAGGGAAACCACGCGAATGGGGCCATGTGGACGCTTTGCATCAAAGGCGAACAGTTTTTGCTCCAGAGGCTTCTGGAAAAATGGTGAAGATGCTGCGGTTTAGACTGTGACTCCCTCAGTTTCCCAGGAAAATAGAGGATATCCAATCCCTAACCTGCTTGTCTTTAGTGGGGAATCCAATCCCTAAGAAAGGCTAAAGGCTTTAAAGGCTATCCGCTTTTCCTAACGGACTTGTGCGCGGCAAGTTAAGTCAAGTTCTCTGTGGAAGATATGTACCTACATCTATCTAGCTGGTCAGCTGATCCACAGTTTGGAACAAAACTCAACATCACATAATAGTAGTTCACAACATATCCAAACGTCAAACGAATTCTTGAATTCTGGGTAGCCTATAACACATATATATATATATGTCATATATATACACATTAAATATACTTACATATGCATATTATGCTTGTAAGTAGGCCTAAGGCCCGAGGCTCCCTACAACGATCCCATGGGTCTTCCCAGGCCCTCGGGTAGTCGTTCCACGTCGTTCTCCCCGCGCACTCTCCGAGCGGCGGTGCGGTGGAGAGCATCGGCTTCAGCAAACACAAGGCGACCCAGCAATAGCCAGAGGTGGACAGCACCACGTAGACGCAGCCTTGGGTAGCTGATGGTAGCTGTAATGTTTTGTGAGATAGATGTTTTCTCTGGTGAAACTGGTGCAATTTTTCACCATCTGTCTGGGACTGGTATGTTGACCGATCAGTTGGGGTGGTTGAAAAAGGGGGTCCATGTAGGTAAATATTCTAGTCCCAGGGAGTGTCTGGGATTGATTGGTTGAGCTTTCTAAGGTCTTGGTTTGAGACACTTGACGATTATTCATTTGAGTGGAGACTTTTCGATCTTCTGGTCTGATTCATTTATTCATGGGCTAATTTGTTGGTTACTTGGTTGATTGCGTGATTGATTGATACCCTGCAAAAAGGTTTCTAGGGTGAGTGGATGTCTTGCCGACATACCGGGTGCGTTGGCAGTCACCAAGATACACTTGAACATGCTTCATATTCTGATGTTTGATGTACGCCTCTTCAATCATGATTTCAGAATTGTTCAGGCATCGTCTGCAATTCTATGTTCTGTATATATCTATGGATTGAGAATGACATGACATGATGCGTGCAGGCTATACTTTATGCTGCAGTGAATGCAACCGGGCCTTAAACCATCTTGTCCTGACAAATGTAGACCACGCAAAGGGCAAATGCCCACAAACAGCGTCCAAAAACGTCAAGAGATCTCTGATTCGGCCAATGGATTTCCCACTCAAGTCGTACTTACTTCCCGAGCTGGTTGGTAGATCGGGACAATCCACCAGGCGGTTACCCAATGACCTTCAGATGTCCTCCCTTCACGGGTCCTCCCTTCACGGTCAACGCTGCATGGCTTCACCGGGCCTCAAAGCCTTGCGTCACTGCATGTGGCTGCCATGGATTTGAAGCAGAACAGCTGGACACTACGGACACTACTGTCATCTTTTTCAGGTGCACCACATGACTTTTTCAGGTGTTATTAGGAGTGTTCTTAGGTGTTCACATCTCTCACACTTCTGCACTTTAAGGGTCTTCAGGCCGTTGGATCTGGCTTCGCTCAAATGTCTCGAATCGATGGTGGACCCGTTGAGCGATCTAAAAACACCTCAGGACCCGCTGCCATCACGCCGTTCGATACATCGCAAACCCCGTTCGGCTGAAACCAGAAGAGCGCGGCCAATTGCAGAAGAAGGTGCCCAGCAGGGCGTAGTGTAGGAGACTGAGGTATTGCAAGGCTCGAGCTCGATGAGCAGAAGTCGCCTCAACCACCGTGGCACGGCACGAGCGCAGCTAGAACCGTTCGACCCGAGGCCGCAACGATGCGGAAAAAAAAACACCGTTCTGCACCGTCTGCACGATTGGATGGCGGGGTCAGCTTCTTTTTTGTCAAGTCATTGTCAAGTCTGTACTAGAGTTGAATTCGCGGAGTTGTCTTCTCTTGAACTCAACATCAAGCCTGGAGCTGGCTTTTAGTGATTGCCAGGGTCAGGATACCCTTCGGGTTTGGGGAAGATGTAAAGAAATCCTCCCAAAACCCCAAGTTCGAAGCGATCTGCCAAGTACGCTGCTGGCGCCGGCAAGCTTCCAGATGCTGTGAGTTCCCATCGTCCGGACGGGCAATTTGGGGGTTCTGCCTATCTGATCTGGTGGGCGAAGAAACTGGGCTGTGGGTCTATATCAATATGTACATATTCAATACGTTATCTTTTTTAAAATTTACAATCATATAGTTATATTAATGTGCAACCATGTGCAACCCAAATGGTCAGGACATCACCAATCACCCGGTGGTTTGGGCAACACAAAAACTGGAGACACGAAGACGATTGAAGGGCAAGCAGCAAGGACTGCTTCCATCCAAGCACACAGAAGAGCCCGAACTCCTCGCGGACATCAGAGACAGTCTCGGTCTCAATGACTGCTCCCACGCGACACCCCCATGTCTTGAAGACACTGACAACACCGTCTTCTGCCTGTCGACCGCTTTGACCAAGGAAACCCGCAGCAGCCCCATATCAGTGACTGCCAGCAACCAAAAGCTACGTCTTGGATGCATTTGCAATCTGTAAGGGGGTTACCGACTAGCGATGGCCTCCACCCTGGAGTATATGTTATCCTTCAAGTCTTAGATTCGACTTCGGACGCTCCGCCAGAATGATGTCTTGCAGATTTCCCAGCGAGTTCCATCAGTTGGATGAAAAAAAGGCTCACCCAAACACCCGAGCAACTGCCTTGATCAACAATTCCAACAGGAGGTCCAAAAGGTGCCGCATCAAGTACTATTTTCTTTTTTTCGACCATCTGCCTGAGGTGCGCAAAAAATGTCTCTCGTGTCCTGCTATCGCTTGTTCGGGTACTTGTCGCTTGGACCTAGGAGACCCAGGTCCACTGCTCCATTTTCGAAGGTGTTCGGACCCTCCCGCCTACCCTACAGAAACGTGTCGAACAAACAGCACCCTTAAAAGGAAGACAGTGGACCCATCATTGCTAGCCCTGGGTTCACACTCAGTATCTCATCAGTTGGTTCCTTTACCGAACCAATGGTTCACTTCAGCAAGGCAGCTCATCAGTATCTCCAGTTTAAGCTCAATTGAACGAGTTCAGGAAGAACCGGCGTTCTTGGTGGTTCACCTGCTTGTGATAAATTGGATTCGTTACTGCGAACAGGCGATACCAAAGGCTCCTCTACAGTATGGGTTGAGGTGGAAGAATTTGTAGACAAACTGTAGACTGACCCCCTCACCGCATCTCACAGCACGAAATCCCATGATGGCCCCAAAAGCCGGGAACCATGAGGAATTCTGATGAATTCAACACCATTCAAAACCCGCTTTTCCAACCCACAGTCCGAGTCCCACTGTTCACCAGTGGTCCACCGCCAAGCAACGTCAACCGCGGCCGCACCAGCCGGAGCTGCGGTGCTTCGGGCGTTCGGGTCGTCGCCTCTGCCGCGGCGGCAACACCCGCGTGGGGCGGATTTGGGTGACACACCGGTTGCCGTCGGGTGGGTCTAAGGAGACAATTCCGAGTTGGGTGCGGAATGGTGCGGAACATAAAGGATAGATGAGGAGAGCGAAGGTGCTATTTCTTCTGACACAGCTCACGTTTTCGGGGGCGAAACAACCATTCCGACATGGAACTGCAGTTCTAAGGAGACACAGCATGAAGTACCCAGTGAAGCAAGCGCACGAAGCACCGAGGAATTGGACATGTTCGCAGCACAGGGCGCCCGTGGAAAACGCGGGGATGAAGAGACCTTCTTCGTCTAAAGAGACTGGGCAGGAAAACACCTTGGCAGTGTAAATCAGTGGACACCTTGGCTGTTTTGAAGCACCATGATGTGCGTCAAAAGGCACGCATCTCAAAAGGCGGTTCTTTTCTGAAACCACCTGTTTGCAGCGTGACAATGCGAGACACTTCTTTTGAACCTACAGCCTATATAGCGTAGTATTGAACTGTGATTCTCATATATATATATATATGAACCGTAGCCTAGTATATGAACATATAGCCTATATAGCCTAGTATATGTATGATTCTCAACGTGGTGTCGATATGCTGCTATGCTTTTCAAGGCCGCAAGGCCAGGGCCCATCATAGACCCCAGGCCTATGAAGCAGCTTTTGACTGGAAACCAACCACAAATCAGTAACACCGGCCTTGGCAGCATAAATCCATACCAGCAGCACCATGGGTAACAGCACCACATCCTCGATCAAAAGCAGTCAGGCGGAGTGCCCAGGTTACAACTCACAAGGATTCAGAGATGCTCAGTTTGGACATGTTTGGCTCAGCAAAGAGTTCATATGATCATAGGTTTGCCAACATCTCCAAGCAACATAACCTCTTCAGGAAGGTTCCAGAAACTTCAAGGCAAAACCTTTGGAACATTCAATTGTCGAGCTTTCAAAGAACAGAATGAAATGCCGGCCCAGTTTTCTCAACCCTTTATTCATCAACGGCTTTCACAGCCCAACTAAGTTCAGCTTCCTTAGGTCCTTGGTCAGCTTTGCGCTATTGGGATGGCAGCCTTTTTCCGTCCGCCTGTCACTGCCCAGCATCGGTCATGGCCAGGAGCATGTGCACCATGGGGACCAGCACTGGTGGCACAACGGTGGGATTTCCTTGCATGCCTCAGACATGTCCCAGGCTTTCTTCACCATGGAAATGGATATGGGATTCCATTGCCTGGGATTGAGTTCCAGCAAATCTTTGGCACATTCTTTGATAGCGCACCTGGACATGTCACGGCCGCTTTGTTTTTGATCTTCGGCCTGTCAGCAACTCTACGTAGAAACCTCCAACCCACAGAGAGGTGATTCCAAGTCTGGACAAACTTTTCACAAACCCTTGGCAAGTTTGTGACGAATCTCATTTTGGAGCTGGGTGAGCAATCGGTAGGTCTGAGATGCGGGAACTTTGTCTTGTGGCATGCATTCATGAACTGAGGTTGAAAAACCCAAAGACATCATTCCCAGACCTCGAGGGTGGCCTGGGGCGGTGTGTCCACAGGCATTGTGTTGTCACACAAGGTCCAGCTCAGCATTTGCACCGGCAAAAACTAATGGAGTTGTCAGCTCAAAGATGTTTATCGCACAATCTCATGATAAGTACGGTTTGAACAGAATTCGGCCTTTTTGGAGTTGCCAAGGAGCGCACAGCCTGCCAAGGCTCATCCCAAACCCTGATCTCCAAGTAAAGGGGAACTCCAGAAACAGCTCCACCCCTTAGCACCTCCCGACCACCCGACAAACATGCAAAGCCACCCGAACGGCCCGCCACGCAGGTCAGTGCCGGGTGGCAGGTGGGTAGTGGCAGTTGATGCTCCGCGAGCAGCTCGGGGTAGAAACGCCGTAAGGTGCTGAGATCTGCGGAGGCCCAGTGGTGCCGCCAGGGCGCCAAGCAACTCCTTGGGAGTGGAGGTGGAGACAAACGCCTGCTATAGTGTTATTCCCCACATTGCCGTGTGGGGTTCTGGTTTTTTTGCTGCACCTCCTCGCTCCTCCTCCTCCTCCTCCGCCTTCCTCCTTCCTCCTCCTCTCTCACACAAACCATCTCTCACACAACATCACTCACACAACATCTCTCACACAACATCTCTCACACAACATCTCTCACAACAACATCTCACACACAACATCACTCACACAACATCCCACATACAACATCTCGCACACAACATCGCTCACACAACATCTCTCACAACAACATCTCACACACAACATCACTCACACAACATCCCACACACAACATCTCGCACACAACATCACTCACACAACATCTCCAACAACACAACATCTCACACACACAACATCTCGGAC